ACTCTCATATGTAGTTCAGGCTGGCCTCAAACTCACTGTGATCTTCCTGCCTCAGCCTCCTGAGAGCTGGGATTACAGGTCTGCACCACCACACCCAGCTCTTATATTACTTTTAAAATATCAAAATGAAGGTCTTCTTTTTGTTTTTATTTTAAGAGCTAAGATCTACTTGAGAAAAAGGAATGAAAATATGGGTAAGAGCGGCTCTGGGGAAAGACAGTATCTTCATTTTTGTTGAGAAATATATAGACTTTTTAGTAATTTTTAAACAAAGCACAAGAACTTCTTCTTGACTTCTTTTTGACTCTTATGCTTAACATACTGCCTCTGTCAGCAGTATGGTCTCATTGTGTAATTAATTCTTTCTACAAATATGCATGGAGGGACCACTCTGTGAGGTAATACAGTGTATACTGAGCAAAACCCAAGGCCCTTGCTTGAACCTTAAATCCTTAGCCAAACTCTTACCATAGAGACTTAGATAATAAATATTTGTGTTTTTTTGGTGGGGGGAGTTTGAGACAAGGTCTCACTATGAAGTTGAGACTGACCTGGAACTCACTATGTAGCCCAGGCTGATCTCGAACTCACAGCGATCCTCTTGCCTCAGCCTCCAGAGTGGGATTACAGGTGTGCGCCACCATGTGCGGCAGATAATAAATATTTGAAAAATGAGCCCCCTCAATCATTCTTAGGACAGGGCTAAGTATGATTTGATGGTGCTAAAAGAAGCCTCCTTTTGATAAGGAGACTTGAATCCCTTGTCAGTGCAATAACTTTAGATTATCTTTGCTTAAAATAATCTTAACTATTATTTCTATTATTTTTTGTAGTTTTGGGGATTGAATTGAGGGCTTGTCATAGATTAGGTAAATGCTCAGCCCCTAAGCTACACCCAAGCTCTGCTTTTCTTTTTTTTCTTAAAAGCAAAGACCATTTTGCCTTTTATGTATTAACTTTTTAATGCACCACTAGGTGGCAGTGGTTTGCAACCTGTGGTTCCACAGATCAAGACATTAAAATATGCTTTTTATGTATTATTGCAGTTTATTCACACCAGAGAAACTATTCGGTATTTACACATGTGTGACTTATTTATTTCACTTAGTATATCTTCAATATGTATAAGATTCTAATAATATTACTGACATAGTGAAATGGGAAGAAAGGGGCTAAAGGTGTAGGGAAGGTGGGATGGATAGGGGAAGGGTAATAAGAAAAAAGAAAAAAATGTGAGATAAAGAAAAGATGGAAACAAAGTGCTTGTAGATGGGGAGGGGAGGGGAGGTGAAGAGAGGGCAGGGACAAGAGGAAAAAATGAGAACCAATACCTGTCATGTAGAGGTACAAGATCCCAACAATGAATGTAACTGTACTGTATCCCTAAAATGTACCAATAAACTCAATTAAAGCTGAAACAAATATGCTTTTTTTGAGACAGGGTCTCATTATGCAGCTCAGGCTGGCCTTGAACTCACAGTGATCCTCCTCAGCCTCCCATGTGCTAGATCTACAGGCATGGCCACCATGCTAGGCCACCCTTACTTTTAGATAATAGAAAAATAAACTTCCTACTTATGCAAGAATCACATGGCCTTTGTCCCTTGCTACCTTTTGAACTAAAGATCTACATCAATACTGTCCATGAAATAGAGTTAAAATAGCAAGTTGTAGAATAATATTTGTACCTCCTCTCTTTGTCCTATGCTGCCTCTCTCCCTTTCTTTCCTCCTTCTACAAAGGTTTATTAGCTTACCATGTGCCACCATATGGTAAGTTACTAAAAATTGTGTGGTGAGCAAAGTTACACCAATGTACCTCCATGGATCTGATGACAGTCCTTTACAGATAAGTTGGTTTCACTTTCGCCTTATAAGGAGCAATATTACAAAGAAGATATTACGTGTGTGCTTGAGTTTCTTGAGGGCAGTGGTTCTCACAGTGTGGTCTCAGACATGAGATTCAAACTGTTTTCATAATAATACTAAATGTTTGTTATTTGCCCTTCTTCATGCTCACTCTCTCATGAACATATAATGGGACTTTCCTCTACATAAGTGATATTATAACAGATTGACTATCAAAACAGGTGTGAGAATCCAAATGTTTGTATTAAGCCACACATGAAAGAAGAAATTTGCAGAAATGTAACATATGTAATGACATTCTTCACTGTAATTTTTTTGTTTGGGAAAATAGAGTTATTCTAATAAAATTGATTTATATTAACATGTAATGAGTTTATTGTTATTTAAAATAATGCTTTTAAACTTTCTTAGTTTTAATGTTTAATAAGGTAGTTATCAGTAAATATCTTCTGCATAACAAAAATTTTTTGATGTCCTCAATCTTTTTTTTTCCTCACATCAGTCAGGTAATGAGCTGACATCCTAACAAGATTTGAGCAAGGCACATTTCATAGAATGATGGGAAAGCCCAATTATCATGCTTATGAACCACAAGAGGCTCTTTTCTGTCATTTTAAGAGTGTAATGGAGACCTGGTACCAAATGATCTGAGATCCACTCTTCCGGGTGCATATCTCAAAGTGGAGTTGCTGGCTCTTAGGGCAGCCACAAATTCAGTTTTATTAAATGTTGCTAAATTGCTCTCCAAGGTGTCTAATGCTAACCTTTAAAACAATTTAAATGTATTAGTGTTTTTTTCTTCAAATCTCAAGTTGTGTGGAATTGTAGGATCATTATTAAAAATATCTTGCTTTCTCAACAGAAATGGACGGTGAGTTTTTAAAGCTTATGGGGCTGAGGACTGAACCAAGGGCCTTGTGCATGCTAAACACTCACTTTACCACTGAACTACACCCCACCCCAGTATTTATTTATTTATTTATTTATTGGTACTGGGGATCAGACTTGGGCCCTTGTGCTTGCAAGGCAGGCACCGAAACCACTCAACTAGATCCCCAGCCCCCACCCCCAGGATTTATTTTTAATATACTCTGAAGGTGTTTTTGCTCACTGAGAACAGCTTTGTAGAGTATCAAGATGAAATGTATCGGAAAATTTATTTTTGTTTGGTGGCTCATGGCAGGTAGAAGTGTACTAGTTATGCAAATAAGCTCTTTTAAAAAACACATCAGGGGAATTTCATTGTTTTTTTTTTAAAATAGCTTCTGTAGTTTTTGTTAAAAGCATGCTCTACTAGCACCTGATCTGTAAAAAAATATACCGTGGTATCTAATTAAAAAAAAATATTTAAAGGCTCTTTGTAGATAGATCACTTCACAGTCAGAATGTATTGTAACCAATTTAGGGTTTTTAATTAATTAATTAATTATTATTGTTTTTTGTACTAGGAATCAGACTTGGGACCTTGAGCTTGGGAGGCAGGTGGCAGAACCACTGAGCTAAATTCCCAGCACCTATTTAGGGTTTTTTTTTTTGTTTTAAATCATAGACTACTTACTTGTTTTAAATGTAGATGATCTAAAACCTCAATGATGTTACATTTTGGCAGTGAAATATGTGAGAAGTGTGAAAGACTGACTCTTACAGTTGAAGGCCAAGGTGCAGCAATATTAATAGGCTGTTTCTTACAATGGTTTTGCACATAGTGATTTGTTCACTGTGCTCTAGTAAAATGAAAAGTGACCACAGCGAGTTTTTACCTCTTTATGGTGGAGGGCTTTTGGCAACTAAGTGTGAATGTAAGTGAAAGTTTAATCTTCCCATTAGCCAAGGCAGAACACACACATGTGCACCTAGGAAAAGTAGATGGGATAAATCATGAATGCAGCACACCCTGGTTCAGGAGACTTAGCTATAGCAGTAATAATACTGTTGATACAACATACAGTACATCACAAGTACAAGTAGGAATTGTTTTTTATCTGTTCTTAGGAGTTTATCCAGCCAATGGGACTAAACAAGGGATGACCTCAGTAGGAGAGATGAACACTGTGCACTCATTTGTGCTAATAGCCAGACTGCTGCCAGATATTGGGTTTTAAATTTGTTGATCCAGGTATGAATATATTTGCATGTGGAATTCTATATGAAAGGTCCTTTGAAGGAAAGATAAACAAAAATTGCTGGCCTATGCCTTTTGGATTACTGACTTTATTTCAATTGTTTCAAGGAGTCAAGAACTTAGAAACTTTCTCATTCAACCACATATTGAGTGAGTTTCCCTTACCTGAATACTTGTGACGAGAGGTGTTTTGGATTTTTTTCAGATTTTGGAATATTTACATACACATAATAAAATATCTTGGGGATTGGAACGAAGTCTAAACATGAACTTTGTCTTTAACCCTTACACACATAGATATAAAGGTAACTTAATACAACATTTTAGTTCACCTGTTTTGACTGTGACCCATTCAAATGGATTGCCTGAGGGAGAGAAACTGAGGGAGGATCACTTATTCATGCACTCATCTGACAACTATTTTTTAAACATCGGTTCTGTACACTTACCTAATCGCAAGTAAATAAGGTTAGCATATATGTTATCCCACAAAGTAGAATGCTTTTGAGGTGAAAGGGGTATTATTAATAATGATACTGAGATATCAAACAAAAGCCACAACTACTTGAAGCAAGGCTGACTGCAGTTACCCTGTGACTAATACATAATCCTAACTCAAGAAGCCCAGTATCTAATGGGAACGAGAACATGTAATTGCAACATGCTGATAATTATGCATTATAGTTGCAAGAGAAATGCTGGGAGGGGTGTACCTGAGCCAGTGAGGAAAGATCTCTAAGGAAAATGATGGTCCAGCTGGGTGCTGAGGGGGAGAATTGCACTTTATTGGTGAAGGAGGAAGGAAAAGATGTTCTCAGAAGAAGTAAGAGGATATACGGGGCCTGAGCACTAATTTGATGACTTGGGGAAGCTGCAGGTAGTTCCCATGGTCAGGGTGTGCTGGGAGGAAAAAGGGTGTTGAAACCAGGCCAGTGGGCCCAGGTTGGCAGGCCTTGTGTGATGTACTAGGGAATTTGTATTTTATCCTGGTAGGTACAAGGATCCACTGGGGATTTGATGAAGTACCATGAACTAGTCAAGTTTATGTTTTAGAAAGTTTTCTTCTGACAGACAGAAGTGAGAGATGGATTGGAGAAGAGACCAGTAAAGAGTCTTTTGCATTTAGTCACATGAAACATGGCAAGATCAAGATTAGGTAGTGATTGTAGGGATGGGACTTAGGGACAGAACTGAAAGCATTTAAAGAATTGGTCATGCATTTGTCATGTAATAAAACATTATGAAGTTATCCCTATATCAAGAAGGGCTCGATACAACTGAAATAATTCCACTAGGATCTAGACTCTCTTTTTAGCTGAGTACTTTCTATGATAGGTTTTAACATGAGAATTTATATCTACTTTACTCCAAATCCAGAGGGAAAGAATGCCTGACCTGTTCCCAAAGCCTCAACTGGCCAATTAGTGTGGCCAAAGGAATTAGGGTGTCTGATAGGCCAGTCTGAGCTCATTTATTCTACATCTTAATTGGGAATGAGACACTACACAAATTGCACAGATCAAAAGAACAGAAAGTAGATTCAAGTGGAGAATCTGGAGTTTTGGAACATAGCAGGGAAGTGAAGGACAATTATCCACTATGCAGGCAGAGCTGGGACACTGCTCTGGCCACTATTGCTTGGAAACTCTGGAGAGAAATCCACAGAACAAGGTTAGGAAAGGTAATCCCTTAGCCAGGAGGAGTCTTAACCTCTTTCCCTCAATTTCTTTTCTTTTTTTTTTAAGCTTTAATTGAGTTTATTGGTACATTTTAGGGATACAGTAAATTACATTCATTGTTGGGATCTTGTACCTCTACATGACAAGTCTTGATTCTCATTTTTTCCCCTTACCTCTGCCCTCCCTTCACCCCCTCCTCCCCTCCCCATCTACAAACACTTTATTTCCATCTTTTCATTATCTCACATTTTTTTCTTTTCCCTTATTACCCTTCCCCTACCCATCCCACCTTCCCTACACCTTTAGCTCCTTTCTTCCCATTTCTAAATGTCGGTAATCTTACTAGGATCTTATGTATTATTGCAGATTATTCACACCAGAGAAACTATTCGGTATTTACACATGTGTGACTTATTTATTTCACTTAGGAGTATATCTTCAATATGTATCCATTTTCCTATGAGTGAATCTAATTTCTCATTCTTTATGGCTGAGTAATATTCCATTTTATAGAAAAACCACATCTTCTTTATACAGTTTCCAACAGATGGACAAATGGGCTGTTTCCAAGATTTAGCTATTACAAACTGTGCTGCTATAAACATGGGTGCGCATACTTCTCTGTGATATGATTCTTTTAGTTCTTCTTTCCCTCAATTTCTGAAGAGGTAAGGAGAAGGATCCCCATCTCCACATGAGGAGGCGGGGAACTAACTTGACTGAGTTGCATCTGAGATATTTGCTAAAAATATGGACAGTTGTTTTGCCTCGGAAGGGAAAACAGGTTCCAGCCTCTGCCAGTGACTCCTGTACAACTGCTCTTCCATTTTCCCTTCCCAGGAAATAAGTCAGAAAGTGGGAAGTACTGGTCCTCCAAGGGCTGCCTGCATTTAGGGTAATATCAGGGAGGCTCATTTTTCTTTTTGGTACCGGGGATTGAACTTGGGTCCTTGCGCTTGCAAGGCAGGGAGGCTCATTTTTCTTTTAGGCCTAAAAATGAAGGTTCTAGACCCATCTTATCTTTGGATGTATTTCAAGGCAAGTTGCAGCTATTAGCACATTTCCTCCTAAATACTTCAGCATTTATATCATTAACCAAATTTCATGATTTGTTTCCACTTTGTCCTTTTGAAGTAAAATTTACATAGATTGAAATGCAGAATTCCACTTGTCTGAAAAAGGTCTGGATGGATCTCCTCAGGGAGACCTCCTGAGTCCTAGAAATGTCTGAGTGTCTTTTTTTTTATTTTGGTACTGGGGATCGAACTCGAGACCTTCACACTTACAAGGCAGGTGGCAGACCACTGAGCTAAATGCCCAGCCCATCTGGGTATCTTATAAGTTGAGTTCTCTGTTGGAGAGAATACATATTTATGACTCAGTAAATGACGATGAAAACCTGAGACAAGACTGGGTTTTCCCACTGAAAATAGAAATCCAAAGTAGGAAAATATCTTAATTATTGCACAGATATGTGTGAGTTCTCTGCAAAGAATGTTTAGATAAACTTCAGTGAAAAGACATCAGTAGTTGGTGCATTAGACTGCTTTATTTGTATAGCTGTATGTTTTGATTATTGCAACAATCAGCCTCTAGTTTATTAGACCAACAAGACCGTAATTAATGCTGCTTCAGAATTATCAGATTTTCTGCGATTACACTGTGACTTTCAAGGAATTTGGCAAATCGGTCTTTACTGCCAACCTGGGATAAATTTATTCTCTTGGTATTTAGGAATTCTCCAAGTCCCCGCTGCTTATGCTCCCATTGATCCAGAATCACTACCATCATTATCAAGTCATTTTATGGAAAAAAATGTGATCTAAAGTACATTCGTGTTGGAAAACAGCCAATTAATGTAGCCCTAGGTGTTTAAATTGCTTTTTGTGTGTTATATTTATCTTTCAATTTTTAAGAGTTCCCCCTTCCCAGGCTTAATTTCTAAATTTGCTGTTACTGGAAGGGTTTCTCAGACTCAGCACCATTGACATTTTAGGTTGAGTAACTGTTGTGGAAAGTGTCCTGTACCTTATAGTACGCTTAGCAATATTGTAGTCTTCAATTAATAGATACTTGTAGCACCTCCCAGTTGTGACATTCAAATTTTTCCAGGCATTACTAATTCTCCCCCAACGTCTTCCACCCCTCACACTTCTTTGTGAACCACTATTCTATGGCATGAAGGTATCTTCTAGCCTGACAATGATGTCTATGCACTTTCCTGAATTTCCTTTCCGTTTCCAGAGTATTTCCTATACCGGGAAAATTTTATAACACTTGAAATTTGTACCCTTGTATGTTTATGACACAATGAATGGTCAGTAGTATTAAAGAATTATAGTTTACATTTATTTTGAAAAAGAGATTAGAACTTCAACTAGATCTTTCTGAAAAACTACATTTATTATTATTTTTATTATTAATTTATTTTTAAGTGACTGCTGCCTAAAGATGTAGCAAGATAATCACTGCTTTGGGGGGCAATAACTAGTTTAGCATTTTATATTCAACAAGAGGCAGCCCATGTTTTATTATTTTTTAATTTCTGAGTTAAAAAATATTTTTAACAGGGCCGG